CAATACTCAAAGACCACATGGTTTATGCAGTAAGTATGCTGAGCAAACCATAGAGTTTCTGGGAAGGAGTTTCTTGAACAAGGCCAGTACAATCAAACCCTCAATTATGATATGTGACTTTGGGCGAACGCAACCATCAATGGCCACCTAACAGGTCCAGCTATCTAATTTCACTCACAAGGTTTGAGCAAACCTGTGGTATCGTTTTCAGGGACTCTCCAAAGGTGCTGCACAACAGGCAGATAACATCAAGAAGTCAAATTCTTGGCAAATTGGCTATTATGAGATTTGAACCTAAACCAAATGGTTGGAAAGCAAATATTCTACTCACTCAACTATACATCCATTTACTGACTATAGTGAGATTCGAAGCCAAGTCTCAATCAATACAAGACTGCATACAATATTTTAGGGAGAATGCTTGTAACTAAAATGAGTCTTGGCTGCAACTGGAAATCAAAAGAAATTATAAGTGTTGTTTGCATTTAGTGTTTAAAAGAAAAAAAGAGTGGGAGAATAAGTTTTCTTTCATTCTGTTTGCCATCTGACCAATATGTTAAATGCTTTCATATATTGTCTAATGTCTAACTTTTAAAGTGGTCAATTAAAATTGTCTCCCTTGAACTAGAGAGATAAGTGACAGTGGCTTTATAAGAAAAAAAAAAAAAAAAAAAAAGAGATATCATTTGAATAAATAATGCAAAGAAAGCATTCTCTCTTAAAAGTTCAGAAAAGACCAAATATAGTGAGTGTCTTAGAGAATATCAGTAAATGGATATTAAGGTGGAGATATAGATATATATATATATATATATATATATATATATATATGAGGGTTCATGTATGCAATACACGCCTTACATTTTCTCCAGGATAAATAATTTTGGCTAACATAAAATTAATTACTGATAATTTTTCACTATCCTCTTTGTACTTTTTCTATTTCCCATTTCTTAGGATAATTGTTACAAGCAATATTATTTAGAGAGTGTAAGAAGAGAAAATGCTTGTTTAGCCAAAAAAGACAAGTAAAAGCAATGAATTTACTAAACTTTTTAGTAGGGAGCATATGAGAGTCACCAAAAAGCAGAAATTATTTTGCTTGCATTAGAAGAAAAAAAGAAAAAAAAAGAGATTTGAGCCATCAATGTTCAGCATTCTTTTTTTTGGCAGGAGGGTCAGAATGGCACTTATAAAATGACTACAAAACCCATAAAATATTGTCAAACCATACAAACAAAAAGAAAGTAATTTATCTGTAAGTTTATCAATGTCATTCATATATGCATTGTTTTCATAAAACTTTATCAGTGATATAAAAAAAAAAAAAATAAAATAAAAAATAAAAATAATGATTGTAAAACCATTTTTTTTTTCTGATTTTGGTCCAGCATGATAAAGGGTACTAGTATGCTTAGCTAGATTCTGAAGTACACAGTGGTGGGAATTTGGCCAAATTGGGCTTTTAAAAAAAAAAATTTTTTTTAAATTAAAAATATCAAGGAAAGGATGCCATTTAAGGTGGTCAAATGGTTTGGCAATAATTGATTATCAAATTTCAACCGCTGTTGGTCAGTAAGATTCCATTAGAGAAAAAAAAAAAACATTTAAATTGGTGAAACAGATGTTTTGAAGTTTTTTTTCATGCAATTATTATGTCTAGAAAGTTCTTTGGTAATCCATAACAAATACATACCATCAACAAAGATTTACTGAAAATTATCTGTTTGTTCTCAGCACTTAAAGCTGCCGCCTTGACATAACATTTTTCATTGGGGAAGAAGGAGATATTGTGAACGTTTAAGTTCAAACATTTGTGCTTTTATAATTGACTGGCCTAAAAAATTTAAAGGAATAACTTAAGTAAAATACGCACTATTGCACAAGAAAAAAAAATAAACTTTGCTATAAAAAAATGTTAGTTAATTTTTTTTTTTAAACATAACTTTAGTATGTTTACATTTTAACATCATGAATAAGCATTGTTTTATTTTTGTTTATTTTAAGTAGGAAAAATAATTTATTTGTTTGAAAATTTTCAAAAATATATTTTAATCAAAACTTGAATTAAAGAAAATCAAGTGCACAATAATAATAATGGTTGTTTACTTACTTTTAACTTAATTGTAAACATTTCCAGACTCGTTTTCAGTTAACCTTTTTAAATGATAAATTTTATTAAACAAATGAAATCCAACATCAGATTAATTCACAGATTGCTCATAAAACCTTTTCTTTAGAGATTATTATTATTAATGTTAATAATAATAATAATAATAATAATGATAATAATTCTGAATTCAGCCTTCAGTTGACATTAAAATCATCAAGTTACTCATTTGTTGATTTTTTAGCTAAGCTCACTTTTTAAACAAAAATACACCACTAGCCATAAGACACTGAAAACTCATTAAAATCAATGTTATAATCATAATTTTTTTGTCATTAGTTAGAAGGAAGACTGAAAGAGTATCCGATTTATTTTTTTTTTTTTAAACATTCAATAAAATCGGTGAAATTAAGTGTTTGAAAAATTGTTTACATCATGTAACAGGGTGTTCCATATGTATTATTGCATGGAAAGGTTTTTGTTTTTTTTTTTTTATAAAAACAGTAAAACAGATTTTTAAAATCAAATCAACCGAATTACAAGGCCTTATATTCTTAAATGTATATGGCTTTACTTATATGTTTATTTTAAGACATTTTTTTATGTTTATACATTCTTTTTATAGATACAAATATTTTAGTAAATGTTCTGTTTATAATAAACAGTATTAACAACATTTACCAACCTGAATGCCCGAGAAATTTTCATAGAAAATTTGCGTCCTCCGCATATATTCTTGGGCATTCAAGCCGGTAAATATCGTTAATACTGTTTATTATAAACAGAACATTTACTTAAATATTTGTATCTATAAAAAGAATGTATAAGCATAAAAAATGTCTTAAAATAATTGTCGGACTTTGTCCATTTCATTATATGTTTATATAAACATTTTTAATCTGAGATTGTTCCCAATCTTGGTTCTCAGCTTCATATTTTCCCTTGCTTTTAAAATATTTATGACACTACAATGTACTTTTTAATTATTAATGAAGCTTAAAATCTTCTCAGTAAATCTTTTTTGTTACTGTTCTCCACTTGTGTGTATGATAAACTGATAAATACTTGATTTTGGAAGATTAGGTGAGAGCGATTGTAAATTTAATTTAGCGGGGGGTCAGTTCATTAAAACTTATACGAGGTGCTCAAATGCTGAGCTATCTTTTTCTTTTTATGACATTCATCAGCAAATTTTACATAGACATGCCAAATTTCATTGCTTTATTTTGAATATTTTTTTTTTTTTTAAAACAGAATTTTATCAATGAAAAAAAACAAAAATGTTGACAATACTTTCTGAAAAAATTTTTTTTCAGCTTCAAACGCTTATATTGCGAAAAGTTATAGATGGATTTTGATAATTTAAAAACCAAAAGTCTTTGATCAATTTATAAACAATACAATAATCTGAATAATGTAAATAGTGTACATAATACCTCATCTCAGAAATATAGACAGATACAGATAGTGGAATGTTTTCCCATTGTCGTCAAAGCTAAGATAACCCAGCCAACCATACTATTTAGCCCATAAATGGAGAGAAGAACGTAGATTCGTGATTTCCCCCAATGGTATTAATGCAAAAGTGAATGTAACAATCTTGGTTGGATAGTGAACGTGCCATTTCCATTTTCTATGCCCAGTAAATGTTAAGCTACCCACATAGCCACTTAAAATATAACCGGGACTTCAAAATATGCCATTGGTTTTTGATAGCATTGGTAAACCAGTCTAATAATAAGCAGCTTTGGATCAAACAAGATCAAAATAACTTGGACCATTTGAAAATTTGGCAGACAAGGAAAGAGGATCTCAGATAAGAGGATCTTGAAGTAAAAAAAAAAAAAAAAGCTTAATTTCATTCTGCAAGAGAAAAATAAGAAAATAGAAACAAGCCTTTCATAAAAGGTAGTCTGTGTGTTAAATGATATGCAGACAATAAGTCGGATAGGGAAGGCATTGTCAGCTGTTAAAAGAAAAATAAAGTGTGGTTCTTTCTTGTTAATGAAGACCAGCAAAATTGTTTATACATAGCAGCTTGTTTAGATTTTAGAAAAACTTGTTGAAGCAAAGTTCAAATTGATTATAACATTTTCATTCTAGCCCCGGAGTTCTCACAAGCAAGAGGGAATTCTTCAACTAGTGGGGGTAGCTTTTAAAGGGAAAATTTGGGACTGCACATTGGTAAACTGGTGACCTTTTTCACAAGTTTTTTTTTTTTTTGTTTTTTTTTAACTGGATAATAATGACATTCTGAAATATGGTAAAAAGATACCTAAAAAATAAGTGAAAAAGGAAAAGTTAAGCGTCATTGTTTACATCCTGAAAGCTTTTCACTAGTCAGGTCCTGAATACACATGAATACGCTTATTTTAAAAGCAATATTGGTTTTCATATTTCCATAATAGAAATTTATTATGCCCCTTAGAAAACAAAAACCTCATCACCCATGTGACAAACAAGCATATTTACCATTATACAACAGACAACTTTGTTATATAAAGTCTACAAAAATATTTTTAATGATCTACATTAAAAAAAATGTAAAGATTTTAAATACATCTCTAATAATACTGATGTTCTTATCTCTGCTATCTAAACAGTAACTTCATCAATAAGATTCATTTTCTACGGCTCAACTCTGTGCAGGTTATTTAAAGCAAAAAATATATTTAGATTGTAAGAATTTTTTTTTTGATTTTTGGAGATAATGATTTAGTGATATAAATCTTACTAATTAACCCATAGCTTGGGGGAGAAGAGGTGGATTCAGATATTTCTCAAGAGTATTTGCACATACATAAATATAATGAACCCAACTGGAATTGGAACTCTGCTCTCCAATTAACAATTCTAAACCATTATCCATTAGACAACCCTCAAATCCAAGCATACAGCACCTGGTATTCCCAAGCTGTCACCCATCTAGGTACTGACCAAGCTCAATGTTGCTTAACTCCAGTGGTTCTATGGGAACCAGTGTTTCAATTTGACATGGTCGTAAGCTTAAACAGTAACTGTATATTCTATAAGTTAGTTCTCTTGCAATTCTTGGTGTTCTGTTTTTCATTAGAAATTCAACCATGGTCAGCATATTAGGAAACAAAGAGTGTTCCAATAACTTGGACCAATTTTAAATATGAATTAAGTTTAAGCATCTAATGATTTTTTTTTCATTTCAGATTTGGCAGATATTTGGGTGATATTATTTTTCACACATAATTGCCATGACGTAAATAACATGATCCAATAGAGAAATAAATAAATTTTCACCAATAACACTGATTTATTTAATTTCTGATTTTGATCCGTCTTAATGAAACACCCTTTATTTACTATAAGATTTTTTCCATAAAATATTTTTTGTAAGATAAATTTAAAGACTTTCCTCAAAGAAAACAATTCCTCTTGCTACATGCATTAATATGTCAGCAAATTATATTCACATTAAGAAATGTGAACATTTTATTAAAAGTCATGGTCAGTAGAATGCAATAAAAGGTCATGTAGTTCACAGCAAGCAAGTCTAAAGCAGACTCGCCAGCTTTGGTCAAAGTAGTACTGAGTGCAGTAAAATGACCTTCTGGTCACACCAAGGCATTGTTTGATCCCTACATCAAGTACAGAAAGACATCAAATATGACATCATACCTAAGAGCTATGTAAAAAGAAGTCAATTGGTTAGGAGCTGGCTTTTGATTGAAATGACATTTTGGTAAAGTAAATATCTATATTGGGTGTTATTGTTTTATAGGAACCTGTCATTCAAAACAAAATAGGACAGTGCAACAGGTGCTAACTGGAAAGGACATAAAGCAAGTCAAATATATAACCACTGTGCTAGAAAGGGAAAAAAAAGAAAAAAAAAAGAAAGATTATTTTTCTATGAGAAACTCCGATTGATGTAAAAATAATCCTTTCAAAAGGCTAAAGTTTAAGTGACAATCTTTTTTATTTAGATAAAATGCAACAGCTTTTCATGCTAAGAAAAAAAAAAAAAAAAAAACTCGAAAGATAAGACAATTCTGGATTGTAAATATGTATATACACGTGCTGCATAGAAACCTGCACATGCCAGTCTTATGTGTGTCATGTCCCTTCAGGATGTTGTTGATGATGGCTCTCCACAATTTCCTGTCCTTTGTAGCTCTTAGTAAAATTGTGTCTTTTTGCTATCTCTAACCTCTGTTCTGCCATCCATATACACAAGCCATTTTTTTTTTTTTTTTTTTCTTCTATGTGCCATTTTCATTCAGGATGTTGGCAATTATACTTCTCCATAAATTCCTTATCCTTTGTAGCTATTAGTAAAATTGTGTCTTTTGCTATCTCTCATAACCCGTTCTGTCATCCATTTAAACAAGCTCGTTAGGCACCATTTTCATGTTCTTTTTGCCTTCAATATATCCTGTTAGTATCAAATTTTCTAAGCTCTCTTTTCTCATTGTGCCCTAGAAATTTCAACAGTCTCTTTCTGATGTTAAGTAAAGTGGCCTTTTTGTTTCCATTTTCTTTAAAACTTTATCATTGCTCACGTATTTGGAAAAATAAAAATAGAAAAGATATCAGTATCCCAATCAGTCATAGAAAGTAAGTGACACAAAGCGTGTTACTGATCCTGATATTTATATAAAAAGAATCACCGACAAATTCCGCTTGTTTCAGCAATTAAACAACTGACATTTCAGGTAATTATTATAAATATGTAGAGCTAATTTGGTACAAGAAACAAATGTCAAATACAAAAGCACAAATATTTGAAACATTTAAATAAATTCTTTTTAAATCCTTTTGTTGTATCATTTATTCATTGTTCCATTAGAATTCTGACAAAAAATGAAAACCAGTCAAATAGATCTAAGTTTTACCCATTAATTTCATTGTTTTCTATTATCAACTGTTCACAAGTTATTTAATGGCAGAAAATATTTTTAGATTGTAAGATTTATTTTCTTGAGATAATGATTTAGTGATATAACCCATAAATGCGAGGAGAAGAGGCAGATTCATATCTTTCGCAAGAGTATTTGGGCATAATGAAACCAAATGGAAATGGAACTTGGCTCTACAATTAAAAATTTCAAGCCATTATACATTACACCAACCACACATTCAAGCTTATCGCACCTGCTATTCCAAAGTGATTATCCATCTAGCTAGGCACTGATCAGGCGTAATGTTGCTTAACTTGGGTGATCATATGGGAACTGGTGTTTCAACATGATATGGGCCGTAAGCCTGCATTAATTGCATACTAAATGGTTTGTGGCAGGCATGATCTCAAATTCTACCAACAAACAAATAAGAATACCACAATCAGGATGAAAACAGGAAATACAAACAGAAGGAAAAATTGCATCCTAAAACTGAAGAGAAACAGGAAGAAACTACAAAAGCAACAAAGAGAAGTACAAATTTTTCACCCCAAGCAAGCTTGGTATGGTCAGGGGTGCAGAGTGCAAAAGAATGAGAAAAAGAGAGAGAACAATAAAAGAACAGAAATCAAAACAGAAGATAATGATTGACATTGCATTTAAATATTTGAAGATCAAAGTTAACTGGAAATGAAGAAAACTGAAGAGTTCCACAAGTGAAAAGTGCAAGAAGCAAAATTCTAAAACATAAATCTTACAATTACATTTTGCAATTTCAATTGTAGAATGATGAGACCTAACTGCCAATCTAGTACTGCGCTTAAATTTGTAAAGTCTAGGTACCAAAAATGAAAGCTCACCAGAACAATTGCCATTAAAATATAAAAAGGGCACTGGGAAGCTACATATCAGCAGACAGAAAGTGACTGAAGCTAAAATGCCATGTTAGGATCAATAATATTGCAGATTCTTTGGGTTTTATCAAAAATCTCTAAATACATTACAGAAGCACCAGACTAGATGTGACAGCAGTATTCAATGACAAATGGTAACTTATAAATGCATAAAACTCTGGTGACAAAATTTGATACAAATGACACCAACAGATGACAAATTTAGCAAATCATATTCATTTAGGAATTGATATTCATACTAATAACCTTGAGAAAGGCATGACCATGAACTTCTCGTTATCATAATTCATTAATGAATATCTTAACCATACTCATTTTATTAACACATTAGAATTAGACAAGAACCAGAATCACAATGTTGAACATGTTTCTATTTGCTATAAACAAAGAAATAAAAATAAAATTCAAACCAAAGTATGGAAAAAAATAAAAAATAAAATGGCATCAAGAATGGTTAAGAATTCAGGTTAAAGCTTGTTCTTTAAATTCTTTTAATAACCACATATCTAACATATTAGTCCTACATCTCAACGTCAGTAGATGTTTATATATGCTTGTTACCGAGTTAAATTTCTTTATATTACAGCAATTCATTGATGTAATCTTCTCAATTGGAGCCATATCAAGAACCATTCAAAAATTTAAGAAAACGGATTGCCTTACATACATTTCATTTCAATATAAACCCATCTTAAAGAATTAACAATGAACAAATTATCCTGCTAAAGAAAATAAGTATTCTTTTCAACTAGTTCTATTTTTAGTGGCTTGTGTACGTACACTTAGTCAACTAGTGAGAGTGACAGAAATACTATTCGTTCACCAATTACTTTGATCTTCACTCATTACAGATTTACTTAATTGTACAAATTGATATAAATAGAAGCATTCAAGGTACAAAGATATTACACAAAAAGGGGTAATAAGCATTTCGATTTTATAATTGTTTACCGATTTCAAAACTAAATAAAAAAAGATACCCCAGCCGATCATAAACAAAAATCTTTTAAGAAATTTCTTCAACTATGACCTTTTCCATTGCGTAAACTCTGAGAAGAGTTGTTAACATTGTTCAAATACTCAACTGTTCTTTGCCTATTTATTGACTGTTGTTGACAATGTTTCAGTCAAAATGTATTAACAACAATTATAGAAAGAAATTTGATCATCTGAAGAATATTGAATATGACCCTTTGTTTTTAACTTGTTAAATTACCGAGATTAAAACAAAACAAAAATAAACTACAGGCAAAGAGAAAGTTCAATTAGAAAAAAAAATCTTGATCAGATTTGGGAACATGCCAATGTTTTAGAATTCAAAATCTTGAATATTAATTTGACAAGAGATTTTATCAAACCTCTAACATTATAGGACTGAAAGCAAATAGATTTGCTTTCTAACAGTTTAATTCTAATATCAAATTTATAAACATCTGTCCACAGCACAACAAAACCATAAAAATTAACAGCTTGATTTTGTTGGAACATTTTTTTTTTGGTTTTTTTTTTTTTTACATATGAAGTGGGTATAAACTTAGGTTTGGCAATCATTCAATACAAAAACACAGAGAGCTTTTGTTAATACAGAGTACACAAAAAGGTTTGGTATAAGATTAAGAATGCAAAATACATCCATCTTATTTATCTATTCCCATAAATTTTCAGTTGTATAAAAATCACTTGTGATAAATGAAATTAGCTCCAATGGATTAAGATAACTTTGCTTAGGATTTAGATATTTTATCAAAAGTACCCTTCCCATCACCCAAAAATATCCATTAAAAATCTCCTAGGTTTTATATTCAAAGTTGAGGTGTTTGATCAAGCTGAAGATTACTCACACACCATATAAACTTCCAGTATTTATACAAAGCCTAACTCCATATTACTACAATATGAAGTATAAAACAGGAGAGGGAGATTTTTTTATATAAAATCAAATACAGCAAATTTGTAATGTTAGTAAACTAGAAGAGTAACAATGCAGAACAGAGAAGTCACTAGAAACAATATGCAAAAGTTGTTTCATTTTAAAAACAAGTCTAGCTATATTATAAAGACTTTCATTTATAACAGGTTTATTGCTATATAAAATACTTTCTTAGCATGCACTTGCTTTAAATCAATAAAAATACATGCCAACGTATGTAACCACCAAGTTTGTTTTTTATGGTTTTTTTTTTTTTTGGTTTTTTTTTAGTTGTATTGTGCACCTG